TTTCACATGTTCGTGATGACAATAGCTAAATCAACTTATTTAATATAATTTCTACATAGATAGCAAATTAGTATAGGCTGTTATCGAAATCGTGGTACAACCGGTAGGAAGGATGATTCCTTACATAAAACTGAGTTGAAAATAGTATACATATAACAAAGTTCTTCCGAGGTGTAATTTTCTAGAAAAATGAATTTGAAAACTTATTAATTACGCGTGTACTTGAACAAAATCTGCTCCGTTTGCTTCATCGTAATATGAATAATATCACTGAGGCGTTCGATTGTTCAAAAGATCAAAGACTATTTTGATTGAAAAATTCTTTCAATTCTATATCCTTTTTGAGATTGTCCTCTTTCCACAGGCACAAGCTTTTAATCGTTTTCGTATTTTGTGGATGATCCTTTTACGCAACTACGATACGTTGCACATGCAGAAGTGCGCGTGATAGGACAGACTGTATAGAGACCAGATGACGAAAATGGAGCGTTCACAAAATCAAATCAGCCCACATGAACGTAGTATGCAAATCAACGGGAAGGCTGACGCATGATACAATTGGCTCAAAGCTTCATTCGAAATCATCGATGGAAATCTCGTTCAGTGTGTAGTTACTTAATGAATAGATATGCAACCACGAATCCGCCGCCTTCGTTCTATCCCCAACCGAAATATGAAACGTTTGCTCCTGATGAACTTAGTTAACTAGCTTATGCCTCATGTCCCGTTCTGCTTCCATCGTTTACGCAAATGTAGCTTAATTATTGAGAATTGTAAGCACTATAGAGATCTTTAGTTTAACACGTGTTTCTGATGAGAAAATCTATTCCCGGAATTGTGGGATCGAACATTTTCAATTCGATAAGATATAGAAAATTTATTGATGCGTACTTATTATTATTTTCAGTAAATCATTAAATGTGTCCAATTATTAATAAAAGTCACTGTAAGTATACTATAAGCACAAATAATATGCAGATTATGACGCATTTATAATGTAGATAATATGAAACATGTGGAAATGTTTGAAACTTACAACTCTAATGATATGATAATTTTCACACGATTTTATATGGAATCGCTGAAATCGCGATCAAACAGAGCGAAATTCGACGAATCCATCCTATTCGCAAACACTTTCGCAGTACCATCAGCGCAACAATAGTTAAGCGTAATATCTGACCAAACTCTGCACAAGCGACAGAGCGTGAGAGAAATTTGCCAAGAACTTTAATGGAAACACAGAAAATATACCAGGATTTTAATTACGATCATGTGCTATTCTCGTTCACAGACGCGCAGCAGTGAAATTTTAATACGCACATGGCTCCGACTGTAATCTGGCAGAATTGATTTCAGTTTTAGCTCTCATCTGTTCCCCGGTTTCTCTTAAAACGAATTTAGTCCTCGTCCGTCATACGGACGAGCAGCGCAAAATGAAATTGATGACATAATTCTCATGAATTCGCCTGTTATTCATTATACATATCACTCATGGTATGACAAAGAAGTGTGAACTTCTAGCTACATAAAAAAGAAAAAAAATTGAGGCACATTTTCTTTAAACATTATAGTACTATAGAAACTTCGTTCGACAATTTCTTCTTTTTACCTCATAGTGAAATATACATGTTCTCGGTATTCGCTAGTAGATTTGAGTCCCTCTGAATGTTGAAATTTTAGGGCGTGAAACATCGAACTAAACAATTCTATCCGGTCCAGTTCGCGGTGTTTAAGGTCATCGTTGCGGTAATTGCGTAATAGTTAGGTTTCTGTAGAATGACGTATGAGTACATTATGTGGTAACCATAGTACGTTCGATAATAAAGGGTTAATAGCGCGTTCCGAACAGCACCCGTTGTGTCGCAGCTGGTAATCGCAACATTTTGACAAAGAAAACTATTAGTTAAAAATCAAAGCAAATAATCAGTTTTTTAGTTATCCGACAACTGTCTGAACGGTATCTTATAGTGAGAAGCCTCCTTAAGGAGTATAATCGCTCTCTATCTCCTGAACAATGCCAATGATCGGGACCTAATATCGATAGCGTGAAATAGAAGGCTGAAGGAAGCTGGGAAGCCATCCAGAGGATCCAGAAAATACGAGCCATCGTGGATTAGAGACTCTCCATACTCTCTGGGAATTGTGTTATTATTAAGATAAGTTAAAATATTATGTTATATATATTATATTTGCTATCGATGATAATGTACGGATTCTTTCTTGTATTGACCTAATTATCCATTGTACGTGTCCCTTTCAAGAAGGGTAACATTTGTTATTTCTTTTTCATGGTCTATTAAATGTTGAACATTATAAAGTGAGAATATCGAAACGAGATTGTTACAAAGCCATAAAATGTGCATTAATGTAATGTAGAATAATATGCAGTATTTTTAAGGTAAATATAATATTTAATTACTCCGTTGCTCTTGCCTTCGAGGCAATTTCCTGCTTCATTAACAACAATCAGGATATTATCTATGATAACTGAATATTATTTATTCACCTGCATGAGAAGCAGAAACGCGATCATAACGGAGATGGAATACAACGACCCGTTCAAAATGGTCGCGACGGGAGCGATACAGCCTCGAGCGTAGAGGTTCTTGAAAAATTAGGTTCTTAGAAATCCGGTTCAGTATTTGGCAGTTAATGTAGTCACCACGTGACTACGTAGGATTTTGTAGTAAGATTTTGAAGTGGGAAATGGAAAAATGAGTTCTATTGGCAAAGATTTTGGAAGGAAGAGCCAAAGGTGACTGTCTAAAAGTAACGATTTTTTGTAAATTTTTCTAGCCTCAGATGACGTGATCAGGAAATTTCGTGCACACCCGGCCTTAGTGTATTAGGCAATCAACTTATGAAGTAAATAGAAACAAAATGCTAATGACCTTGACACAACAAAATGTCTTTCAACATCTAAACCGAATTCAAGCAAGCATCGATCAAGTCTTCCGGTTTCATGGCTGACCGTAAAAATCGATAGAAACGGTGAAGCATTGTCCCGATGAATTTCTCAACGCGTAAAACTGTCGCATGGACATGTTTAAAGTAGTTGCGTCCGGATTAATCGATCGACGATTGTAATACATTTACTTTGGAGACGGGTTCTCAGTCTACAGAATAAAACTTTTGCGAAGAAAATGGAAAAAACTGAACCCGACGAGAAGATAAGCCGAGGCGATGCTACGCGGAGTTTTCTCCTAAGTGGAAGTTCATCGCTGAGTTCGTCTTTTCGATAGATTTCATCGTTATTCCTGGTTTATTGGTGAATCGAGACGAGGCACTAAATTGCTCATTTCCGCGGGTTGATCGACACCAGGAACAAAGAAACCTTTAGCGAATCGAGAAACAGTGGAGCTTTGAATGTCTCTGAGCACTGAGATAGCGATAACTAGTTCTCTGAGAGGGAAATCGAGATATTCGATGAGTGAAGTGAAAATGAAAATACTGAAAGATGAGTATACAGTTAAGAGCAAAATTGAACACACGATATTTAAAAAAAACATAAACCTTTTAAAATCGGACTAAACCGCCTGAGTTTTTTTTTGAATAGTCAGGTGGATTAGTTTATCATACATAGTATAACTAGGTCCTACCGGCGTGTCTGCGGCACGCCGCCGCCTTCCTTAGCTAGTGCTTCCGGATGGGTTCGCCTTGCTTAGGTGACCGGACGTATATGTATACATAGTAGTGGATGTATACAAACGACTGGGAAAAAATTAAAATTTACAGAAATAGTAAGTAAAAATGTGAATTTTGCGTTTTTCAATTTTTTATTCGAATTTGTAATAAAAATTTAAACAACACATCTCGACTTACATGAGTATGTGCTGAAAGTTGAAATTCATCGATATCGAAAGAAACGACAAGCATTGACACGTGCAGATTTTTGGCCAAAAGTCGTAAAATTTGTGACTTTTACAATTTTACTTAACTGTAGCTCGTAACAATGATAACGAATTTCAATGAAATTTTCAACATATACTATTCTCATGTAAGTAGATAGTCAAAATGTGTTGTTTAAACTTGTATTTTAAGCCCGAATAAAAAAGTTGAAAAACACGCTCTTCACATGTTGAATAAGAATGTTTTCGCATCTATTGTTTTGTATGGTTGGCGCGAATATGTATGAATAGATAGTGTTATATGTATGCGATTCGCGCGGATGAACCCGTTCTTTCCAATTGAGAACGTGACTTCAGTTTCTCCTTATCCTCTAAGTGCAATGGTGCTACTACTTTATTAATCTGTGCAAATCTTTTCAATCTCATATTAATTTCAATAAATATTATTCTCAAATCGAATACTTGTTTTAAAATCACATTCTTCCTTAGGATTTCTACCAATTTTAATTTTTTCGCTATCTCTTGTGCACGTAATTTAACAAACTAATCCGCCTGGCTACTGAGAAAAACTCAGGTCGTCTTGTCCGATTTTAAAAAAGTAATTTAATTTTAAATAGTGTGTGTTTAGTTTTGATCTTAACTGCAATTGTACAGTAAATACGGAGCTTTCCTTATTAATGGAAAAATGGTAAAGGAACTGAGGGAAACAGTTCAATTTATTTATAGTAGAAACTTGGAATATTGAACATCATACAATTATCACAGTAATTCGCCTAAAAGACATTCAGATCGGCCATCGTCAAACCTGACCGAAAGAGACAAAGAAAAATAGCACTGTATCCGCTCATTACGTTCAGGAAAGGTTTGGTTCTTCGTGTAGAAATCGACGACGTTTCGCGGAAGAAGAAAAAGTTCTGTGACAAAAAGTTAATCCTGCGCTCATTCCGATAACGCGGACTGAATTTATACTGTCAGTCGCGTAGTAAAAAGCGTAGAAACTTGAGGGCGTCAAAATGAAATCCCGAAAGGATTAGGAAAGCACACGTTTCGTTCCGGTTCGCGGATGACGAGGGTGCTGTTCTTTCGAAGGTTGCTCATTGAAAAAACGAGCCGATCGGTATGGATGCCAGCCAAAGAGCAATATATTTGCTACAACTGTAAGCGCGAAGGATTCTACAAGAAACTTGGATATTTTCATACTCGGCAGTGTTGTATAAAAATGATGTCCATGTTGATGGATACAGAAAACGTGGGTTTAACAGTTTCGCGAGAAGGAATGCAATTTACGAGGAGCGCTTTAGATTTCACGATTGAAGCAGCTACAATGGAAGCATGAATATTGATGGTGTCGAGAGGTGCGAATGAAAATGATGCACAAGAAGGTCTGCGTAATGAGTTATTCAAAGTTTGTTTATCCGCTGCTCCATCGAATTCGAAGTCATCAAAGTCCTTTGCATATAAACACGGTCACCTCTTATTAAAATGCAGTATTTACAAATCCGCTTTGTCTGTTTTCCATTTTTTCGTTTTATTACGTCAGCTTAAAATCAATGATGGTACAATAAATGTACTAAATTTATAATTCGTTAAAAGATGAAGTGTGTTGAAATTGAAGAAATATGGAGATAAGAAGAAAAATCAATCTTTGCTCTGTCTTCGAACACAAAACTTGGTCATCAAGTCGAGTTATTCTTATGCCATGTAGAATACAATGGGATGAAAATTTTGGATTTCAAGATGAAAGACAGCAAATTTTGCGGCAATTAATCTTATAGAACTATAATAACTGAGACTAGACATCTCTTTAAACTCTGTGGAAAATGTTTATATTATTATGCAAATGTCCATGTTGATGGATACAGAAAACGTGGGTTTAACAGTTTCGCGAGAAGGAATGCAATTTACGAGGAGCGCTTTAGATTTCACGATTGAAGCAGCTACAATGGAAGCATGAATATTGATGGTGTCGAGAGGTGCGAATGAAAATGATGCACAAGAAGGTCTGCGTAATGAGTTATTCAAAGTTTGTTTATCCGCTGCTCCATCGAATTCGAAGTCATCAAAGTCCTTTGCATATAAACACGGTCACCTCTTATTAAAATGCAGTATTTACAAATCCGCTTTGTCTGTTTTCCATTTTTTCGTTTTATTACGTCAGCTTAAAATCAATGATGGTACAATAAATGTACTAAATTTATAATTCGTTAAAAGATGAAGTGTGTTGAAATTGAAGAAATATGGAGATAAGAAGAAAAATCAATCTTTGCTCTGTCTTCGAACACAAAACTTGGTCATCAAGTCGAGTTATTCTTATGCCATGTAGAATACAATGGGATGAAAATTTTGGATTTCAAGATGAAAGACAGCAAATTTTGCGGCAATTAATCTTATAGAACTATAATAACTGAGACTAGACATCTCTTTAAACTCTGTGGAAAATGTTTATATTATTATGCAATCCGCTCGGTTTATTTATTCGTGATTTTTAGTATCTTAACAATTAATTTGAGAACAATGAATACATGTATTACAAAATTATGTAATATATCGATTATTTTGGCGGGCATTTGGGTTCGGATTCGAACTGTGCCGGGAGTGGTGATGACTGCACGATCGGAGAAGCAGTTAGTCCTATTGACATGAGTAGCAAACCGATTCGAGAATGCAGAAGCTGCACGAGACAGCGGACGCACTCGAGGAAATGCTTCGGCGGCTCTGCCAGGTTGGACAATCGATTCCCGAAGAAAACTGGGGAACCCGGAACTCGGTGTATGGGAACGTTGACAAACAATCGCGAACTGGCACGATCGACTCAGCTGGACTCTTTACCCTTCCCACGCTCTTTCGCTCGGGCTACTCTCTAAGTTGAAATTCGATTTTGCACACCAAAAGCCTCGAAAGTCTGATTCCTCTCTAAAACGTAATTTCAACGCGTTCGTCGTCGAACTAATTTAAACCGAGAACATTCCGAGGTCCAAAATAAAATTATAGTTATTGACCCCATGAATAAAAATCAGTTGAGATTCAAATATCAATTTTTAATTAAAGGAATTTTTCCTAATAAGAAAACACAATAAAATATTATTTTAATTGGTTATACACACCGATTGAAAATAAGAAAACTCATTAAAACTTGTGCATTCGCCTAACGCCACTAGCAGCACTAATTATAGGTACCCTTTTACTCTTTCTCATGCCACGACTAAAAGCAATTAAAATGGTGTTACGAAAACTCACGCCCTGGAGGAAATAAAGATTGAAAGGTTCCGGAAAATTTAGGTCAAATTGATAGTCGAAGGTCTAAGGACTTCAATATCGGCGGCTCAGAATTGAGGATTTAATCGGAGAAATTTCACGAATCCTTAGCTGAAATATACCCTTACATTTAAGAAGTAAGGATTTCAAATATGGCAAGGCCAGAAGACTGGTGCGTCATCAAAGACAAATTATTCTAATTGTCAAATCACGGCAAGACTTAAAAAAATCATTAATAAAAGACATTTCGCTGGTTTCGTTTAAACATTTCAATTTAGCCTCGATTACATGTTCGCCGTTTCGCAAATATTTCACACTAGGACTTGCATGTTACGTGAACGAATGTAACATACTTAAGAAATAAGTAACAACATTATAAATTACAGATTATACTCTGTAATTTATAAAGTTGTTAGTTATTTCATTGAATATGCTGCATCTATTCAGTGAGCATAACAAACGACTAATTGCTTCCTTTTCTCTGATATTTAATCAATTTCTTAGTTGCTCTTGTTTTGTTTTAATCCTATTTCTCTTCACAAACGTGGCATACGGCCGCGGCAACGCACGAGGCGGTTATCGCGCTCCTGCCCGCCTTGTATACGAATACACTGATTGGTTCCGGTTTTTTGTTAACAACTCGTCAACCACGCCTCGGACAACTTTTTTGCAAAGGAAAAAGTTGTTTAAAATCACCATGGCTCCTCCCAATTTCAAGGCCTAAAACTAGTTCTGGGACACCCTGTATGTATTTCAGCAAACCGTTACTGCTTCGTCCATTTGAAATTGAATAAACATGCTCCGCTTTTAAATGTTGTACTATTTCGCGTTTCTTCACTTTCTCCCTTCTTCACTTCCTGTTGTTAGTTTTTGTCAACGGTTTTAAAGGAGAAAAGATACAGTAAGATAATAAAATCTAACGAATCAAAAGAATTTGTTAGCTTTCTAAGAATATACGCAAGTTATAACTTTCGGACGTTAAGAAAAGAAGGATCGAGTGTACTTTAGAACGTAGCGCGATGTTATTCAGTTTTATCACTGTGACAAGTCGCTTCACAAACACCTCCCAATGAATCGTATGTGTGGTATGTAAGCAAGCTTGATTTACTGCTGTCACGGTACTTTTAGCGATGACTTCAATTTAAGTGAAAAGCACTGATACTTGGTTTGACAATGTAATCCAAGAAGCGAATTTTCTCATGACCTTCACTCTCTACCATCGTACCGGAGAACTTCGGAAAAGAACACTAAAGCTGTTTTCACGTTGTCGTTCATGGAGGAACTGCTTCCTAACCGAGTACTTGTCATGGTAATCAAATGGAAGCCACTGACTAGGTCCGTTCCAGATTGCCTCGTTCAATTAGCATACATACGATGACTACCTGCACCTCGCTCTTCTTGATCCTCCTGTCCCGTCTCTTCCGAAACTGAAATAGCCACCCGCACGTTAATTAATTCCACTCATGTGTTCTTCGTAAACGTTCCTCCTGAATTCGTCTGAATTTGTCTGCCATTTTCGGAGATAAATAGGTGGTTCAAGTGTTCTATTTAGAACTTTACAGGTTATTTTTATACCAGCTTCTCCCTGCGTACCGTAGGGACTCGGCCACCGTCCGCAACTATGTTCTTCGAACAGGTTGTCCGTGCTAAGGCGGACGGATACACACAGACACACATACAAATGATGTTTAGTAGTAGTGAATTAGAATAATTCACGTTATCTGTAATTATAATGCAAAAAGAATATAGATTTATACAATCAAGTTGTCACTGTATTTGTTCTTATTGACAAATCTACTATTTGCGAAGTAATCCTTGTTACTACTGGTTTCTACTTCGGAGGGCTTTCTCTAAAGATAGTGCAGAAGTACTTAAAGATGTACCTTGACGAGAGGTATTAACCAAAGATGGCAATTTTCTAAATGCGATCGCGGTTCCAAGAAACTTACGTTTGTTTGTCTGCAACAAACTGGCCACGGTTTTATCTAGCAAAATATGTACCAAGTTGCTTCTATAGCACATTATACTTCTATGGTCCGTTGAAGCCATTAGAACGTGGCGGATCTCCGAATTTGTTCCATTTCATTTCTTTAAAATTCGAAAGCTTCGCATACAATCATGAGAGAATAACAACAGATGTCAGAGAGAGAGAGAATATCTATCGATGGCTTTCAACGAAATTCGCTGTTATAGTGGACGACATTAAACGTCATGAATCAAATGGGATTTCGGTTAAATTGACTCTTGCCGTTTAGTGTGTTATTTGGTATTGCGTTAACAATACTGCGATACGATGTAAAAGATACTATTATTATGGTGATTGCATAATACTCTTTGTGATTGAATTGCGCGGTGCACCAACTTCGATTGTACCGAAATATAATTTACTAATCAGTTTAAAGAACCTGTTATTCATGATTTCGAGTCGAGCGATTGGGTATCGATAATTTCCTGGTACGCAATTAACATTTTAAATCGAGACCCACCGAACAGTAGTAATAACTTCATTCAGTTATACTGCAATGTTTCGCTGTTTATATGCCTTATATTCAAAGCGACCGCTTTTAACTATAAATGCAAATGTTGTATAATGTTATAATAAGTAATTATTCCTTTAAACAATTTATGGATTTAATATAATTATACCAAGATGTTAAATAAAGTAATTGTACTACGAAATTAACTAATCTTCAATATACATATTTATTCTAGTGTACACTGTTTGCCAACCGTTTATGGTTAGCTATACAGGGTGTCCCAGAACTGGTGGTACATTTTTTTATGGGAAGTTCCTGAGATGATTTTAAACAATATTTTGCTTTGTCAAAATGTTGTCCGAGGCGTGGTTGTTGAATTATTAACGAAAAACCCCGACCAATCAGAGCGCCCGTATAAATTATTTACTTATTCCCAAGCATGCTTTCCATTGTAATATAAAAATTCTTATATTTTTGTCAGGAAATCATGCTGTCCTTACAGAAATATCGCTCACTGTATGCAAATTGATCGGAATATAATCTAAACGAAAGACAACGTTAGCGTGAACAAGTTAATAGACGTGAGGATATCGATGGAAGTCGACAATGAACGGATGAACCTATCCTAGGTGCGAGTCGACATGTATCCGCTTGGGCGCGATTACATTTCGTGTAAATTTCAGGCGGAACCGTGTTTCCTCACTCCACCGTCATATTTCATAGTTTGTTGCCGACACACGCACACGCTCCCCGTTCCTTTAATTTCCGCCTTCTGTTTGACCGTGCCGCGCTGCGATATATTCGCCGATCGCCAGTTACCGAATGATAGACTTCCCCTGATGATTCTCCATTTTACGACCAGTCTTCGCTAGATCCGTTTCTAAATATAGGTGAATTGCTAAAAGAGAAATTGACAAATATAGAAGCTGCGAATAGTATTAAAGCCAATTGGATTCAATTTAGCATATGAGCACTTAAGACACGTTTAATTTGCAGAGTATAACTTCCATATGATGCACTGTCAAGGCGCAGTAGAGAAATGAAATAAAAAAGTTGCTTTGAGAGACGCTTTGCTAAAAAATACATACGGTATGCCCGTTTTAAATATGTACAGTCTACGCAGAATTACTCATACAAGTATCAGAAGTACGCAAAAATGTTTCAAATGAAATTTGTATGGTATCACGGGAAATACGTCATAATGATAATTATTTGATGTTAACATAATGCCTTGTGAATATCACATTCCAATTTCTAAGTGGAACCCTATATGTTTTGTAGACATTTCTATAGCTAAGATTGAGACAGTTTCCGAAATATTACTTAAACGATTATATTGTACAAGCCATTATTGAGTTATTAACTATGAACAATAAACGAATACAATTTATTTAATCTATAGGTTGTCCCAAAATTAGTGTAAGGTATTGAAATGGAAGGTTCCTGACGTAATTTTAAACAGCATTTTCCGTAGTGAAGAAGTTGTCCGACACGTGGTTGAGGAGTTCTTAACAAAAAACCCCAACC